TTTATTTAAACACAGACATTATGCTAAATTGGTCACCTCCTTCTATTTTTGTAGCTATCCATCCAGAGCCATAGTGAGACATTTTGATGGAAAGGGCAAGATAATTACATTTCCCTAGCAGGAAGCAGGAGAATGGCTGGAGGTAACATTTACATTCCGCCTCTTGGGCATCCCACTCACTGCCAGTTCTGCACATCCACTCATCGCTTCTCCCACCTTTTCTATTTCATGCTCTCCCTCTTGAGAGGACACCTCTTCTCATCCAATTGAAAAACTCCTGGCTAGGAGGAGACTCACATCCAGAAAAACACATTGAGTGCAGAGCTGCTGTCCTCTCCACAAACACTTTCTCTCCCAACTCACGTAGTTTGTACTCTTCTAACATGGCAAAATTAAAACCAAACTGTTCTTTCTCACAGCTACTCTATGAAGTAAATAGCCAAAATCCTCCACTGCACAATCTTTTCCCTAAGTAAATCTGAAGACTAATTTCTTTTTACCCACAATAACAAGGTCAGTTCTTCTCTTGGTAGGCTGGGCTGTGTCTCCCTGACCAGGAATATGCACCCCAGGGAACGGGTGAGTGGCCAGCTCCAGGGCTGCACAATACCTCTCCCAGGGCTGCACAATACCTCTCCCATCGCAGTTGGTTCCACGGAGCATTTCTAGCTACCTGCTGCGGACAAAATACCCACCTCTTGGTTCATAACCTGTGGCAAATGTTGATTGACATGGACCTGTTGACACCACAGGGCAAACCAAAAATTGAAAACCAGAATCTCCAGTGAAAAGAGACTGATCCTTGGGATAAACTCATCACACATTTATATACAGAGCTAAGTGAGAAGAATGCTTGGAAATAATGGCTAAGGGGAAGCAGTTTAGAAAGTACAAAGGGGAAAGTCGCACATCATTGCATTGTTGGCTAATTCTCTACTCTAGGATTTGATTCAGCCATAATAATCACAAGTCACTGAGTTTCCCACAAAAACTAGATCTGGATCTAGACCTAGGGGAAACCCTGAGTTTCTGCTTTACTGTAAATTTGGTTACTTTGACATCTTTGTGTTTTAATTCAGGATGAAAGTGTATTTGTAAGATTTTCAGGTTTTAAAAGTCTTGCATTTATCTTATTTAATGATTGGTTTGGACATTAGTGATAGTGCATAAACTGCTAATTATATGGCATAATATTTAAATGAATAATTTTCATAATCAGTAAGAATATCTTCTTTGTAATGTTGGTTGAACTATCTATTGCTGTATATTCATAGTATTTACAGTGTCATAGCAAGCCCAGAAGAAGAAAGCAATTGCAATGTCAAACTTTTTCAGTATGGCAAACAGAACCCTCAAAAAAATAACTAGTTCCCATTGGAAATCAAGACATAAAGAATAAAGTAAAATCTTTCAAGTATTACACTGAACACTGTCACTGACATGATGTAAAACATATTAACAATAACATAAAAATCTAATCCCTTTATGGGTCAAAATAAAGTTTTAGAACTCAGAAATTAAATTCTGAAATATTCTAAAAGTAAACATTTTGAAAAATGTCTACTTCAAAACTCTTTGTCCATTGTAAACCTTAATAGTATTTTACAATTAAAATTATTTTAATTATATCTTATTTCACTTTTCATCAAAATCTGTAACAAAAAAGTCCAACCAGCTGCTATTTTGTAATGCATATTTAAACTGGCATTTCCTGAGCTTATGAAAAACGAAGAACTCCATTTTACTTACATGAATAAGGATGCTCTATATCCCATGTATGAATATTAATTTTTTTACAGTTCTTCTCTGTGATATAAGACTGTGTAAAACTCACAGTCAGGGAGAAGTTCTGATGCTAATAAACCTGTAACAAACCCATATCTCCAGGGATAATCATTTCAGCTGTCAGAGCACAGTGAGGAGCAGCTGGTTCTTCAGGGATTGCAAGCCAGGAGCTAAGCAGGATAACAAGGCAACTGGGAGCAGCACCGTCCACCAAGGAGTCAGGATGTGGAGTGGCAAATCTGAATGGTGATCAGGATTAGACATGATCCAGTGCTCTCCTGAGATGTCCACAGCAAAGCAGAGGTCTCACTGGCAATGGGACTCCCCTTGGACTCAGACAGTTAAATGCTTCACCTTTACCAAGCCATCTCCTAGAGCAGGATTGCACATCTGGCCCTGGCATCAGTAATACAACAACACAGCCTTAGCAGCTAAAGGTGCGGTGTATAGTTGAATGAAATACACATTTTATGTGAAGTAATTCAAGCACATGAGTGGGTTATTATTATATTATACTTATATTATATTATAAAAAGCAATTGCTATTGTTACCTTCTTAAAATCCCCAGAATGCCCTTTATTTAAGAATAAAATAAATAAGGGCTATGGGGAAGCATTTATGAGGAAAAATCATCCAATCAAAAATAGAGTATATAAGAACAGTCTGAGAAACACCCGTGCCTTCTTCCCAGACAGACATGCTCCAAAGGCTTCCACAGAGACACACAAAATGAGTAATGATATTAAAATGCAGGTTTTAATGCACGTGGAAAATACCCCAAATAGAACTAACTTGTCAGCCTTCAACTGGAGGCAGAAATCAATGTTGCATGTAATGCTCAGCCCGCACAAAGCCTGCTGACATGCTTGGTAAGGTTTCCATTAGTCTCAGTGGAATTTGGAACTATTGTTTAAAAAAAATTAAACTAATTAGAAGGTACTTTTATTTGGGGTATTTTCCATGTGCATTAAAACCTGTATTGTAATGCCCATCTATGGAGGTCAGCAACTAGACAGTGAAAGAAATGATGAAGGGCTCATTCATTTCCAACCCCACCATCATTTCTTGCCCAGTTCCTCAAAGGGGTAAATATCAGATGCGCAATCATCGCTTCTTGCAGGACAGCCAGAGGCCTTACACAGTAGCCTTGTTCCTCTTGCCCAAATGATGAAATAAGGGCTTTGTAGCCACTGTACAGGGATCTGACAATGAAACTAATTTAGTTTCTATCCAACACATCAAGCACTGCAAAACTATATCCTGAAGAACATGAAAACTAGTGGAAATAAATGATTTTTTCCATTGCCTTTATTTTTTATCCTAAATTTTTATAGAAATTGAGACTGTTTAATGCTCTCCACATCGAGGATGATGATGATGATGTGTGACTTCCAGCTGTAATAGGAGCATCTGGCATCTCAAAAAGCTTCCCACCTCTCTAAAAGGCCTCTTTTCATCTTTCTGAGGAAACTGAACAATACAACAGAGACTTTCAAAACCTAGGTGAGAAATAAACAGCAATTTCAGCACACATAACAAGGAAGCTCCAGGTATCTCAGGTTCAGGCTGTCTGAATATAGCTACAATAATTTGACAAAAGTATGTTGGAAATTTAAATGATTTGTGAGGATTTCTACAGCAGGCAGGAAACAATCATGATATTCAAAAGGCGTGATTATAAACAAATTGCTCTACTGGCATTGTTAACTACCTGAAAATTCTGTAAAGTGTCTTTGAATATTAGTGTAGAACCAGATTCACGTTATTTCACATATTTCAATATGCAGTTGAAAGAATGACTAACATATAGGTATCATACCTATCTTTATTAAAAGAAAGTAAATCAATCAAAAGACCCATTCATTTTGAGTGATTGCTCTGGAGCTGGGCTGATATTCAAATAATATAGGATACTATAGTATGGATAACGATCTCAAAATTAATAGCAAACATATATACATAACAGATTCAAATTCACAGAGTAAACATAGCAAGCAAAATGGTTTGTTCTCGTAGGCAGACAAATCAAATGCCAGACTCTGTGAATATGAGCAGAATTGTATGGCTATTGATTGTTTACATACTACAGCACTGCAGAGTTGATATGAGTTGGTTTTGCCTTGTAGAAAAATCTCTGGGACCACATGCCACATCCACTGTGGATATCTTGTATACCAATCTCCCATAATGAGCAGATACATATTTTGATTAGTATGCTATGCAAAGGATCATTTACCTTAAAAATAATCTTAAAGCACTGTGCAAGGTATTTCTGAAGAAATGCAGTCAGAGATTTTGCCGATTTTCCTATGCCTAACAATGAGATAAGATGGCATGCAACTGGCTTCTAGAAAGATCCAAAGTAATTTATCATTTCCTTTGTGAAATATGATGTTGTTGGGTTTTTTTTTTAAATATACATCACATTTTCCATCACATGCAATTGTAAATTTGGTACATAAATTATTTGAGCAAAGTTACTTATTACTGCTATATACATGATCAGGAAAATTTTGGAAACTTTTCTTCTTTTCAGGGGATCATTCTTACAAGCTCTGTAAACATGTAAGCTGTTTTCCTGCCAAAAGGAAGTGCTAGCTAAAGCGTTTCTATGAGCTTCTTTGTCTATTTATGAAATCTGCCTTAAATTGTGGAGGGCTAGTATTTTGCTTGTTTTGTAACAAGATGCACCAAGACCATCTTAATGTGAAACGTGCTTACTTTAAGAAATTATTTGGGGTCTGAAATACTTCATGCACTGAATCATTCTCAACTAAGGAATGCAGAAAATCATAATCTTACTTTTCCCTTTAGCCAACTCCAAAACACCATCTGGATGGGAACCCTCTTTAAGTACTAAATTATAAGAACTTTCATATCATAGAATCATGGAATCATAGAATGGTTTGGGTTGGAAGGGACCCTAGAGTTTATCTAGTTCTAACCCTCTGTTGTGGGCAGGGACACCTTCCTCTAGACTTTGTCCTCCTTCACCACTAAAACCCAGTTTACTTAAATGCTTTCTTGTCATACATCTGTGAACAGTTTAATAAAGAAACATTACAAAATTGGTAGGACTTTCTATTTCTTGGCTTGCTTTGGCTGTTTTTATAAAAAAAAGTTTTAACAACCAATAAACCTACAGTAATATTTGTACTAATTAACTGGAGTATACAAAATATTTGTCTTGTCGCTGAAATATCCCTGTAGCAATTAACATTCATAACTACAAATTTTGCTAAGATAAAAGAATATCAGGAACCTAATTCTAATCATTCTAACAACTAGAGGCCAAATTCTGCCTTCCCTTTACAGTCATGTAATCACATTTGTTAACTGTTGTAAGGGCAAAATTTAGCCCCAAACCACATTTTTATCTAAATATATTTTTTTTTCTACAGAAAAATAAAAAAAACAAGCTATGTCTTATTACTGCTCTTCCCTTCTGAAGGGTAAATACTGATATTTGAAATACCTACATTGTATTTACAGCTGTACAACATTGGTGCCACATACTTGCAAAATGCCACTTGAACTCATAAACATGGAGTAACCTGTAAAATTGGCTTAAAAACTTTTCTTAAAATAAAGAAAGAGCAGAGAAGCTTAGACATTTTCTTTGTCAAATTCACACACAAAATACATGGTAATGTGACATGCAACATCATTCCACCCTCCAGAGGCCACCATCTCCACACAGTCCTCCTCATCGTAAGCATTGTTGGGCTCCCCGCTGCGCCACTTGTTGAAGGTCTGCATGGGTGACCGGTCGGAATAGACAAAATTTCCCTCTTTCTCTAGGTCGTTAATCCCAATGAAGACTCTGGTGAGCCCAGCTTGGTTGATGTACGAGGCAATCAGACTGTTGGCAGTCTCATCCTTGGGCATGCTCAGTGTCCCTCCTCTTCCATGGCAGTAGAGCTGGGCTTCCTTGTATCTCTTCTCTTCCTTCACCAGCAGATATATCTTATTATCTGTCTCACGCACACCAGCAACAGCTGCGGGGGAGGGCAGTGCTGAAAAGTGAGCACTCGCATTTCTATAAACCAAGTCACTGTACACCCCAAAATAGCTTCACAAATCAGATGTGGAACGGTGACACTCTCTACGAGCAATTGCACCGGTAAAATGAGGCAGCAAGAAAGAAAAACAGTTATATAAAATTAACCTACCATTTTTTATGAATTTTAGTTCCGTTGTCAGCTGGGCTACTTGGATATCCATTTCACCAATAGCCTTCCTTAGCTGGCTGCACTCACAGGGGATGCCTGTGAAATGATACAGATACACCCAAATCAAAAAACTACCCAATTTCAATAGTTATCTCAACAAGTCTATGAAAAGGCCCAGCCTGACAGCCCTGGAGAAGGCTGTCTTGCAAATAACAGACAGAAAATTAGAACCTTCCCTATCCTGCACCATTATATGATTCTCAGGGGGTATGGGCCTGTGCAGAACAGCTCAGCTCACTTCCCCATGAAGCTTCAGCCCTGCATGATTAGTGCTAATCTAAACACAGATAGATATTCTCTGCAAAAAACCACAATTTCTTTGACAACTAAAAACATTTGTCAAAATTTCTCATTTTCAGTAAAATTATTCTCTTCAGTTTTCTCACAGAGCACTTCTTTCACAGCAAAAACCTGCACACGCACTGTTTGGCATTCCTCACAAGGAACATAACACAGCAGATTCAAAAGTTCCAACCATTTGATGCGAAATGAAGTTCTGTACTTTTGAAAATACAGAATTTACAGTAATTCTTACAATATAAGAAGACAATAGAAAACCATCTATTAACCAAAATTGGTATAGGTTTGACAAAGCTAATCTGAATGTGAACACTAAAAGGATAATTGTTACATCTTTGAGCACAAATCTCCATGAGGATCAATTTCAGTTTGCATTTCTGTGTGTAAGTATTAAAATCTGCATTTGACTACCCAATGAATCATCTTAGGTGTCTAAGTCAGTCTAAGCACAGGGTACTTGCCCTGAAAAACTGTGCATGATGGCTAGGAATATGGTACTCTGGCTCAAGAATTAGAGTGACAAATTATATTCTCATGAGAAAACTAATTGGTGCGCATCTAGTGCACTCTGCCAGGAAGGGACAAATTCAGTCAAATCTGAACCTGCTGCTCTTGTAAGGCTTACACTTCTTATGTCAGGTTTTCACCTGATTCTCTGGAAGATCTATATACCTCTGGAAGACCTATATACCTCATTAATATATATAAGTATACAAAGGGGGGGAAGCGAAGAAGATGGAGCCAGGCTCTTCTTGGTGGTGCCAAGGACAAGAGGCAATTGGCAGAAACAGATGCACAAGAAGTTCCATCTGAATATGAGGAAGAAATTCTTTACTGTGCAGTGACCAAACGCTGGAACAAGTTGCCTAGGGAGATCGTGGAGTCTCCCTCACTGGAGGTGTTCAAGAACACAATCCTGCGCCATATGCTCTAGGATGACCCCGCCTGATCAGGAGCTTGGACCAGATGACCCACTGTGGTCCCTTCCAACCTGACACATTTGTGATTCTGTGATCTGTATTCTTGACAGTCTCCTGGTCCTATAACAATAATCCATGCTGGGGTAGGAGCTTCTAAACTGCTCCTTTGTGTTGGCTGGAAGACAGAGTGGGATATGCAGAGACGTCCCTTTGCACTGGTGATGAATGATATGGACAGTTTGCACTTTGGTACCCACCAGACTTCCGGAGAGGTTACATCTCTGAGAACTCTGAGACACTGTTGTAACACATACACTACAAATCTAGCAACTACTGCAACTTCAATGATTATAAGAAATTTGAAAATATCACAGTGAAATATTATAGTATCTATGCAAAAAATTATTCATTATTTCCCCCAGTATGTAAACAGACATATTTTTGGTGATGTTGCATGCATGTTGAAAAGTCTTTCACATACACAAAGTGTGTTATGGATTACCTGGGTCACCATTAGGACCTGGTGGTCCTATGTCACCATTATCTCCTTTTTCACCTAAAGACATGAAAAAGAATATAAATTTAAGGCAGCTTTTTTCGTCAATAGTTCATTTTTTCTCTAGTAACATTCAAATGTGGAAAGTAGAAATATGCTCAAGCAAAAATAAAGATTTTTCTGTCCTATTCGTTCCACAACAAAGGTTGACAAAGCTATGAAATTTGAACACAAAGAATATATACCAATATCCACTTTTTGACATTCATGAATTTCACGGAACCAGTAAATTCAGATGCTGTAGAGGGAAAAGGGCTGGATATGCCCAAATTTAAAATCATAATCTAGATGCTTAGGTAAACATTGGTCCAAATGACTCAACAAAAGTCCCATAGGAAGCCATTATGGAGTAGGCAACATTAGAAAGCAAGTCTTCTGGCTCTTAAAAGTCTGTCAAAGTACAGTGCATCTTCCCACCTGCTTCTCTTAACTGTCCACTCTCATGTGACAGTGAACAAAGTTCTTTATTTAGCCTCAAACCAGGATACTCATGCTGCTTTAAGGCTAAATATACTGCTGTCAGAGGAAAAGGTAGCTGGCTGAGAGATGTCAGTAACCTGGCTGACTACAGTGTGAGAAAATTCCCATCATGGTAAGCTCTGAGACTTGGTAACCATTTTTCAAGCCCCTAAATTTTCTCAAACATAAATGATCACACATTTTAATCTGAACACAAATGGAGAAACAATTGAATTAAACATACCTTTTGAACCAATAGGACCAATTTTTCCATGCCGTCCTATGCTGCCTTTCTGTCCTTTGTCCCCCATTTCTCCTATACAGCAGAAAGACAAAAGACACAAAGTAGCAATGTAGCCTGATTCATTCAGATTCCAGTATGCTTACAGCATCAGTTTTTATAATGAGCAAAAACATGCTATATCCCCAATATTCATTGAAATCCAGAGGTCCAGCTCTCTCCTTGTGAAGAACTTGCATATGACAACCTAGACAGTGATTTAAACTTTGCAAAGCAATTGACATTAACAAGACATGAAGGTGTAATTGAAAATGGATGTTGGCTGAGAGCCAGTGGAAAAGCTTTTGCAAACTTCTTTCAGCTGATCCTGACAGAATAATGTTGACAATGAGGGGTAGGGGGACTGCATTCAGACACGAATCAGTGGAGTAAAACTGAGAAGACCTAAAGGATCCAAGTACAACTGAGATTTCATCTAAGACAGTAGCTCCACTGTAACTGAGGGCTGACTTTGGGCTTATTGGTTTATTTATACAATATAAATATTGTCATAGGAAATAATGTTTTCCACTGTACCAGACTATTAATGGAGAGTGGGTATGGAGGGACTACAGGGATGAATGTCCTCTGAGGCTCCCATCCTGCAGAAACACAAGTCTGTTTTAGGAAATATTTATGCAGGTTTTTTTCAATGATTGTTTCTTTGCTCAAAGCAACATCTATTATGTACCATTTGTCTACACAGGAGCAAGGAAACAATGAGACAAGTTAGGAGGAAAATCTACCATAGGGATCCAGCAATTGGACTTGTACACATTGTCATAGCTCAGCCTCAGCTGTGGATCTCTGCAACTGAAGGTCTGTTGCCCTCTGTTGTTACCGCAGCTGGACAGACATACATATTTTTGAAAGCTGGATAATACTATGACCCGTTTCATCATTACCTTTAACTTAAAGGTGTAATAAATAACAAGTTTCAGAATATAAACTGATCATCACTGGGCTAAGAGATGTCCTCTGTATTGTTCCATGAAGTCTCAAGCAACTGTAACTTGATGGCATGAACCAAGAAGAAATAATTTCCTCTGAACTGAGAGAAGCCAAATGTGTATGGTTTGTTGGTCTAATTACTGACAAACTCTACAATCAATAATCTTTCTTTGTTTCCAATAAGTATCAAATTCAGACACTACTGAACACAGGCTGTCACCAGAAAGCAAAAATATTTTTCTGGTTTTCCTAATGGAAGAATGGAAGTAACCCACAGAGCCAACTGAAGATCTGCTTTCTGGAATACAGCTTCATTTTCAGAACAGTTTCATGGCTTGACTTAAAGATGCAATCCTTTGGGCTGTGTAGGTGTGCTGATGCTACCACTGGGTATTTATCCAATATAGATAGTATATTGAGAGGGTTTTTCCTTGAGAATCCTTAAAGTACCAGCTTGTAATGACTTTATCAAGCTGCTCTGGAAGTGACCTTTCTTACTTTACATATTTATGAATTGGGATTGCTGTAACAGATTATCAGATGTTCGAATGCTTTTTCTTTTCAGGACAAAATTAAATAAACACATAGATCTAATGCATAAATAAAATACAATATATAAAATTAATTCACTTTCTTTCTCATAAATACTGCCCAGAAAATGAGCTGCTTCTCAGTCATAGCCAGTAAAAGCTACGTGATCTGCTCAGAAGTAAAACTGTGTTATCTCAAGCAATGAAGACATACATTAAACCTCCTGTGCTCATTAAAAGAACTGTTTGGATTTGGTTTTCTCTTACAGTGACTAACCCCTGCTTCCACTCCAGGGGCTTCCTTATTCTGATTCTACAGACTAAATCACAATGTTTCAGGAGAGACCCATCTGCCTTGAGGGTTTCAAAAGTTTTAATACTTTTTGTAAAGCACTTTTTAGTGGCCCTATGGTTGTCAGAAATGCAGTGTGAAGAGTCTTATTGAAATCAGGAAGTAAGAGCTGGAAAGAAATGAAGACAATAAAAGAAATTAATTCTCCATAGGCCAAAAGTGGGAAGTTGAACATGAAGTTCAAATGGAGAATATGAAGCAAGTCATCTGTTATCTCCCAGATGAAGATGGCATATGCTGGAACCAATTATAGAAGACTTAAAGGATTTTAGAAGGAACTGAAGATAAGGAAAGAAAGACAAATCAGAAATTCTTCACGATTAGAGGACATCACAGACACCTACCTAACAAGGAAAGTAGAAGTGTACCAAACCACACCAAAGGCCTCTTGACTCTAGTGCCATCTTTGACAGCAATCTGCAGAGGATACTTAGAAAAAGAACATAAGATACAGGCGAAGATTAAAAGTCTTTCCCAGAGTGTACCTTGACAGTCTTGCAGTAGTCAGTATTCCCAATGCAAATAGTTAACCAAACTTGAATGAGAATGGTATTTTTAAAGGATTTAATTATTTTATAGTAGTAATCTACGTTCAGGACACTTAACTTTTAAAAACTACTGGCAACTGGAAATTTGAAAATTCTCATACACCAATAAATTACAGCACCACTTTATGCTAAATAATCTGAATTATCCACACCAATGAAGGTCGATGATTAGTGAGGGAACAGTGGTTACAACATAGTTACATCTTACGTAGAATCACAGATTGGTTTGGGTTGGAAGGGACCTTAAAGATCACTTAGTTCCAACACCCCTGCCATGGGCAGGGACATCTTCCACTAGACTGGGTTGCTCAGAGCCTCATCCAACCTGGCCTTGAACACCACCCGGAATGGGGCAACCACAACTTCTCTGAGTAATCTATCCCAGTGTCTCATCACCTTCGCGGTAAAGAATTTCTTCCCAATATCTAATCTAAATATGCCCTCTTTCAGTTTAAAGTCATTCCTCCTTGTCTTATCATTACATGCCCTTGTAAAAAGTCCCTCTCCAGCTCTCTTGTAGATCTCCTCTGTACTGGAGGTGTTATAAGGTCTACACTAAGCCTTCTCTTCTCCAGGACGAAAAAGCCCAACTCTCTCAGACTGTCTTCATGGTAGAGGTGCCACATCCCTCTGATCATGTTCATGGTCATCCTCTGGACTTGTTCCAGCAAGTCCATGTCCTTTTTAAGGTGGGGAACCAGAGCTGGACACAGCACTCCAGGTGGAGTCTCGTGAGAGCAGACTAGAGGGGGAGTATCACTTCCATCAATTTTTGCTGGCCACACTTCTTTTGATGCAGCCCAGGATACAACTGGCTTTCTGGGCTGCAAGTGTACATTGCTGGGTCATGTTAAGCTTTTCATAAAGCAACACCCCCTCAGGGCTGCTCTCAATCCATTCTCCACGCATTCTCCATTTGTGCTTGGGATTGCCCAAGGCGCAGGACCTCACACTCAGCCTTGTTGAACTTCATGAGGTTCACACAGGCCCACCTCTCAAGCTTGTCAAGGTCCCTCAGGATAGCATCCCTTCCCTCCAGTGAGTTGGCTGCATCACTCAGCTTGGCATCATTGGCAAACTTGTTGAGGGAGCACTGTCCATATTGTTGACAAATATGTTAAACATATATTCTTATGTGAACAAACAGTGCATAATCCCAGGTGGCATTTTATGTAGTTGAGGCAAGCCAACTACATTCACCCAGCATTAGCCACCTGAAAGTTAGGTTTTAAAGTCTAAACTGTTTATCTAAGCTCCCACGGTAGGCAATGGAGAAATAAACACCTCTCAGCAGCGATCCATCTCACTTGTTGCGGACTGGTAGTTTAATGACAAAGTGAAACTTTAAAAGCTTTGCACAAAAAACAGGAGGGAAAAAAAGAGTAGACTATTATCAATCCATACTGACTAGAAATCAGAATAGTTAAGAAAACTAAAGAGAGTGAGAAAAAAATGCAACCTAAGAAGGCGGCAAAAACGTTTAAAGGATTTTAAAGTACACTCAAAACAAAAGAAATGGTAATAGTATGGTACATTCCTGAGTGGAGGAGTTTGTAGTCAGATGCACATAAAGACAAATAACTGCCCTCATGAAACACCTATCTTGCTAGAATTATGTTAACAATGTAATACTAAGCTTGCTCAGACCAGTGATCCCTCTAGCCCAAGACTTTGTTTCCTGTGGTGGCAGCAAAAGATGCAATACAGGGAGATCACACAATCCCATCCACTATTTGAAGTGTATTACAGGTGGAGTGCTGGATCAGCCCCCAGCAGCTTCAGTTATGATGGGATCTGGGGATTCTGTAACCTCGATCACAACCCTCTCAGACTCCTCTGTACACACGCAAGAATCTCAACCTGTCCAGTTTCTCCTTATGAGGTAGCTGTTCTTTTTCACATTTTTGGTGCCCTTCTCTTACCTCTCATGTCCTTCTTGAGAGATAGAGGCCAGAGCCACACTCATTACTTGAGACACTGTATTTCAGGATTTTACACAGAGCAAAATCAGCTGCAAAAAGTAGTTCCCTGTTTTGTCCTTGGTGTCTTTTCTGATAATGGGCAGTGTTCTGTTGGCTTTGGGACTGCTGCTAATGACTTCAGCACAGTTCTTGAGTTTTAAGTGACGGTTTTGGGTTTTGGCATCATGTAAGTATGGATTAAATTATGCATCCCTAATGTCCCTAGGCAATATATTTATTTACATTGAAACCCATCTGCCATTTTTTTGTCCACTCAGTTTACCACAGATTTTCTCAAAATCCTGTTGAGTTCAGGTGGAACTGAAAGACAGTTCTGAACCAGATACCCACTTTGTGAATTCACAACTGTCAATGTCAGGACTTTTATATGGAATACTGCCTGCAGCACTCCTTAGTGAGCAATAAATTCATGTAAAAGTTGACTCAGAAATGCAAAGGATTGATTGATTACATATTAATGAGCAATCAGTAATAATAAAATATAAATTAAGATATTATTGCCTCTTTCTAGAATTTGATTATACAAATGACTGAGCACTCTGGCTCCAATCCAGTTAAATTAATGAGTCTTCTCTCCTACTTAAGAGGCTCTGCCTGTACTAGTAAACTAAATGCCTGGGACTGTTCCCTGGCAGTGGGAACTAGGTGGCTGAGAATGGTACACTCCACGATACTAAATTGTCTTACTCTTCAAGCCAGGATAATCACTTGCAAGCTGCTCATTGTGACAGCTCCCGAAATATGCCCAAGAATTACCTGGGAAAGTGTTAGCTGGCAAAAGCCAAAGTCAGTGTTGCTGTGCTAACACTGCAAAGGTACAGACAGTTGAGTTCCAAGCCCAAGAACAGGATGAGACTTTGTTCAACATACCATTAGAATTGAGTATAAATGAAATCCAATGTAAAAAGGCTGAACTTAAAATACTGAAATAATGTATTTTCAAATGGTTACAGTTCTAAGAAAATTAAAATGTTTTGAAGAACACATTTTTAATGTGCTGTTCCTTTGATGATGCATTCCAACAGCAAATTCACCCTCTTCTCTTTATTTTGATTGTCATAAAGTACTCTGGGAATATTCACAGGACTGTACTGTTACTGAACTATCTGTGTGGAATTTGTATACATGGAAGTTATGGCCTCACAGACTGCATCATGACTCAGTGAAATAATGAAGTTCACTCCCAACATGGGAATGCACAGTACAGCCATCTGTGCACGTAGTGACAGTTACTTCCATGAACTTCACACCCCAGAACTTGCACTGCAGTACACACTGCTTGTCTGAAACAGCCATTGTACTTGATACAGTGCTTTATGCTTTACATAAGGCCAACACAGTTTTATATTCTGCTGACATGCTATGCATCATAATTGACCTATACAATTAATTAAAAGCAATGAAGAAAGTAAGTGGAATTTAACCTTAATCAGTATCCAAAGACATCTGTATCTCTGCTGTCACCCTGAAGCATCAGGACAGTCAGAACGAGATTTATTTCAGGAAAGCACCAGAAACTTTTAATGTTTCTCAGTTTCTGAGTTACCAAAATCTGAAAATATCATGAGGAAAGGGTATGATAAAAATATTTGCAGCACTTTCTAATCTTGAGCTGTTCATTTCAGGTCTAATATACCATAAGAAAACCATTTCTTTTGTAAGTTATTTTGTTATTACATACCTATGGAGTTCTAAGAAACTAAGCATATTTTCTTATATGAACTTGCTAGTAAAATGAAACAAAGAAAGGTAACCAAAAAAACATGAATGTGATTCTGATAATGTACAGCATTAATGAAAAACTAGTTAATTAGAATTTATTTAAAACAAGACCTTGTTTGTAGACATTTCTGGATGCATAAAGGAAAGCTGAAAAAATATGTTGCTACAGGTGTAGTAAGAAATTCTGCCTGTGTTTAACTGAAAGCAAATCTTGGAAAAATACCAATACAGTATGCATTAATATTTGATTTTCTCTCATCTCTTTTCTTTCAAAGTGTGTTTTCTTGCAGTATATTTCCACTTCAGTGTTCCTTCTTTTAATCTCGTCAAAATTTTGGACTTTTGGAGGTATGGAAAACTGGAAAATTATCATTACTATTAGAGTTAATCAAGCATTCCTTATGAGAATGATTTTCCAAATAAATCCAATTTAGCAGTATAAAATAAATAAATGAAATGCTACATCATGGGTTGGCCTGACTGAAAAAGAGTACTTCCACTTTTCAGATGGTCTAAAGCATTTTGAAGGGATTTGACAAACTAGCAAGCTAGAGAAACATGCAAGACAGCACAGAGAGAGGTTCTCAAGAGGTTAAGACAACTTTGTGCCAAAGGCTGAGAAGGCAGAGGCACTTAGTGCATTCTTTGTCTCTACTGGCAAAATCTGCTCTCTGGCCTCCCAGTTCTGCACATCTGGTAGCAAAGATCTGAGGAGGACATGCCACTCCTGGCACTGGATGATTGAGTGAGGAACTACTTCACCTGGATGTACACAGGTCCATGGCACTGCCCAGAAGCACTCAAGGGCGATGAGACTGCTATCTGGCACTGCTGCAAGGCTGCCAAAGTCTAATCAGCAGGAATGCCATTCCTCAGGAACCAGTCCTTCACCAGTGACAGGAGGAAGAAGAGGAATGAGCTCCATGCTGGCAGGAATGGTGCGCTGGAGGACACTGCTGCCAGTCAGGAAGAGCTCGACACGCTACAGAAATACATTGACAGCAATACCATGGGTTCAGCTAAATTCCTCACCTGTTATGCATTGATGAAGTCTGGCCAATGGCTGGCTAAAATAACTCCTTTGCATAAAAGGACCCAGAGATTTCTGGGCCCTCATACATGGGAAACAAACCAGAGTCCAACTGAGAAAGATGGTTTTGCTTAGCTTGCAGTACAGAAAGGTAAGGGGAGACCTAATTGCAGTCTTCCACTAGAGAAGATGCAGCATTTTGTTCTCAGAGACTCATAGAGAAAGGACAAGATGCAATGATTACAAGTTACAACAAGAAAAATTTCAGTAGGCTTCAAGGAAAAGGTCTTTCATGATGAAACTGTTCAACAGACTGATCAAAAAGGATGTGGAATCTCCATCCATGGAGATTTTCAAAAGTCTACTGGAAAAAAACCCCAAGCAACCTACTCTAATATTGACGTCTGCCCTGTTTAAAGCAGGAGATTGGACTAGATGAGCTCTTTACAACCTTTTAATCTAAATTATTCTGTCATACTTTAACTTCATGCTGCATTACCTTGCAAGAGCTGAAATTTTAGTTTCCAATATTTTTTCTAGCAGTTGTCCTTGAAAGTACACCTACATAAGGTAAGTACACTGACTGAACACACATATATCTCACGGGAGTTATAAATTTTTCAATGCATTGTAGGGGGAAGAGTTCTAGCTATGGATTTTGGTCCCAGGGAAAATTACAGGTATCAGACTCCCATAATTGCCTAAAAGAACAACAAGAGATCATGCATTATCATAAGGAAGTATAAATTACCACTATGATTGCCTTGAAAGGAAGATTGTAAACTCAGATCAGTAAAAACTAACTCACACCATCGTTCTGATGACAGGAATATCAAACCTTTAATTTCGATATCGAAATAAAAGGTTTTGACTACTCTTAATGTGAACCTTTCAGAAAACGCACCTCCTGGAAAACTTATGAAGATCAAATTTCCTCCTTGCTTCAGGAGGAAAACAAACATGAAAAGACAGCATTTCCTGCAAGACAGCAATGCCATGTTTCTCTCACTGTATAACTGAACACTATTGAGCACCATTCCTCTCAAGAGCTCCAAATATTTTTGAACTACAACGCACACAGCCTTATCACCATTTTTCCATAGATATTACAGAACTGTGATCCAAAATATGTGGAAACACTCATGGTCATCTCTGCCTATTATGCCTTCCCTCAATGGTTTTCATTAATGAGTGTTCACATTCACAAAAAAAAAAAAAAAAGGAAACAAGAAAATTGAACCTTGTGATTTTTTTCCCTCTGATCTCATGTGAGGTTTTCATTTGCAGAAGGTAAATTATGAAGAAGACATTATGATGTCTTTCTTTACAGAGACCTTTCTAAAAAATCAAGACTTTTTTTTTTATTTCCAAATGAATCTTTTTGACCAGAAAGTAATACTTAGTCTACAAAGGAATGCATACAGTTGTACTGTATGTACTGTATACTGTAATTTTCTTCATTGTAGCTGGTATTGTGCTCTATTTTGGATTTGTGACCAAAACAATGTTGATAACACAGAAATGTAATCTTTATTGCTGAGCAGTGCTTGCATAGAGTTAAGGCCTTTTCTGCTCCTCATCCCACCAAACCAGCAAGCAGGCTGGGGGCACAAAAGAAACTGGGAGAGGACACAGCCAGAGAAATTCCCTACCACGTGGCATTGTGCTCAGTATATAAAGATGGGGGAAGAAGAAGGAAGGGGGGGGTGGTTCAGAGTGATGGTGTTTGTCTTCCCAAGTCACTGTTACATGTGATGAAGCCCTGATTTCCTGGGGATGGCTGAACACCTGTCTGCCTATAGGAACTGGTGAATGAATTCCTTGTTAGGCTTTGCTTGTGCGTGGCTCAAACCATGAGTTTTCTCACTTTTACCCTTCCAGTTCTCTCTCCCATCCAAACTGGGGGGAAGAGAGTGAGTGGCTACATGCGGCTGAGCTGCCAGCTGGGGTTAAACCACAACAAAAGTAAACAAAAATGGCCAAGGATGTTTTAGTCACCCAGCAAAGGGAGAGAGGATTCCCATCATTATCACCTCACAAGAAAAGACAGCATTTTGTCAGGAATGACTTTCAAAACATCTTCTTTAACAAAATTACCTTTTTCTCCTGGAGGTCCAACTCTGCCTGGACGACCTGGAGCACCTTTCTCCCCCTTTTCTCCAGCCTCCCCTGTTGATACAAAAGGAAACAAAAAGAAGAATCATATTAAACCAGGACTATTTTCTGTTAGCAGCAGTGACAAGAGTGCCATTCTCTCCAGTGAAAAAATAAAAGCAGATGCAATCTGATTTAACAGCCTTACTTGATGCACAGAGAACAGAATTTTCTTCAGTTGGAGTAAATATAGACAAACCCTAAGTCAATACATTGCTGAAGTCTCATACAACAAGTCTATTTTTGTGGATGTTACTTGTATCATCAACCTACAAAACAGCACCATTCATTTAAGTAGAATCTTCAGAATTAGGCCCCAGCTTAGCACATAAACTTCTGGGTCTGTGTTCACCAAACACTTTTTGAGTCTCTGCTATGGACATGCTTAAGTCTCAAGTGCAAATGGCTTAGCTATAATCTCATTTTTTTTTAGAAAATGCCATTCATCAGACCTATAAAAAGGCATTGCTACATCCATCATTTAAAGGATCATTTCTAAGCATGAAAGAGTAACTCCCTACCCCATATCCTCAGTGTATACTGTGCCTTATAACCTCTGAGGAATGAACCACTATGCAGTGTACTGACATGCACGTGGCTCATGGCGCATCATTATAGTCTCCATATTTAAACATCGGTTTTTGTAAATGTTTTCCTTCCTGGTTCCTTTCATTGAAAATTTGAGGATGCTTAGCTCCTCTTGCCCCCTACCATTGTAGTTTGCCATTGACTTAAAATTTCTTTCACAAACAGAAGTTTAAAGAATGATTTACACAGCCACCTTGACAAAAAAAGATTTATACGAAGGAAAAGAAAGTTCTATGGCTCCCATAGAAATTAAGATGCCGGTATCTAAAACCCAGAGCCAGCACGGCACCCATGATGCCTCACCACTGCATTTCTGTAGAGGAGAGTTATTAATTGCTCTCCAGGAAGCTGAGGGGAGCACCACAGCAGGAAAGTCAAAGGTTATCATGCACCCCACAAGCTCTGCTCCCTGGCATAGCTGGCAGCTATGGTTCAGAGAGGGGCCAGAAAGATGGCATGCCACAACATGGCACGTTTCAAATACACAGCCTCCAGCTCTCTTTCTGTCTCTCTCCTTATTGTAGACCTAGATGGCTGTGAACTGAACTTGGTCCTCCGTCTGTTATATTTTCATTCTTCAGGCTGTCAGCAGGCTCCAGACCATCTTCCCTGCCTTCAGACATGCAAAAATAGGCCATTCTCTGACCTTAATGAGGACAAACTTCACATAATCCCCAGTGAATAATATTGTTAGTATGAAACAGGATATAATTTGGCACATTTGGGAACGTCACATTTTTATTATCAGGTAACCAATAGGCTTTGTATGATTGCCTTTCAGCCCTCAGGGCTGGTTATGAGTTCTTTGCTTCCCAAAGATAAATCCTGACAATGACTTTTCTCTGCTCTCTGGAGGCTGAGAGCAGGCTATTACAGCCTATTGCTTTACACGTTCTTCAGAGTGAAAGCTGTGCATTAGGGATCAATAAAATAGATCACTCTTGCTTCAGGCCATTACACTTGCCTGCATTTATTCCTATAATAAGATGGTACCACGTTCCTTAGTGTGGGTGTTTTAGAAACTTTCTCTGGGAGGAGATTACCCCATTACAGGCCCAGCTAGAGACCACTCTGCACTTTTTTGTTATGTTTTAAGGAGCAAGACCTTGGCCAAGAGGAACTGATCAGTGGTCCAGCTCAGCTTTGTCACATTTAAGTCCCTATTTTTGCTGTATGTATCCTGGGCACTGTGCAAGCTGAGGAAGCAAAGCCTGTGCAGGTGCCATGGGCAAAACCCCAGTTTTCTGTTAAGGAATTTCAATCAATTTAATATCTCACCAATTAACAATAACTTTAACTTTTGATTCATACATTAGAGAAAGACACCTCTGTACCTCCTTTCTGGTCTCCAGCCTCTTCTGGTCTACAACCAAGTCGCTTCAGAGCAAAAGGTTGGGATCTGTGCATCACAGTCCCTACCCAATTGCTCTGTTGTGGCCTTTTCTGCCAGACACAGTCCCTTTGCAGTCATATCTCCTGCTCAATCTCCTCTCCATCGCTTTCTGGATGTCTCTTTGCTTCAGCCCCACTGCGTAAAACAGTACCTTCTTCATCAGCACAGTGCAGCTGAGACAGGGTGAGATGTGCTTAGCAGTGCTCCACAGTGCTGAGAAAGAAATTTAGCCCTGCCACCAAACTGAGCTGCAGTAGGATCACAGCAATCAGGCACAGCCTTGACACTACTACAGTCTTCTTCTTCCATCATCTCTGGGAAAGATCTTTCCTAATTCAGGTGATATATCTTACCATTGCTGTTTATTTGCCCTCTTTTGTGGATTCTTTGGGACAGGATTTGTCTATGCTTATGTTCATATCCTGATTCTCTTAAGCTGTATCATCTATGCGGAATGAAAATAGCACACCAAATATTATTAACTATGTGAGCTATTAAGCATTCTTGGCTGGTGATAACTTTCTTCCATTACTCATATTCCCTGGGTGAGTAGATGCATCATGTGTGGGTGTAAAATACTGTTGGTTTTATTTATCTATCATCAACTTTTTTATGTATTGAATGTCATTCAGACTATTAAGACAATTACTGCTTTAGATTCTAAAAGGGAGACAAAACAAGGTAACAAACTGAGAATTTAAGCATTCAAGGATTGTTCCATGTTATTTTTTTTTCTCCACAATAGTAGTAACCTCAATTTCATGGATCTATCAAGAGGAACTGGACCTAAGGAGGAATATGAGTGAGCTATGTAGCAAGGCTTCATCATCCATCCCCTTTTCACACACAACACGCTTTTCCCATTATTAATATTGTCAGCTTTCTAAAACATGGTTCAGTCTGCTGTCTGCCTTCTCAGAGCCATGGTTTTTCCGTTCCTCATTTCATCTTACTCCTTTATACTACCGAGTTTATAAAAAAAAAAAAAAAAACAACGCACGAATAAAAAACAAACCTAGTCCCTAAGACCTGAACTGCTGACCTTAAACTCATTTGTGCTTTTTCTAGTCTTGATGTCTTTACTGGTTTTCTTCATCATCCATTTCCACCTCCATTCTCATCTCATGCCCCTTCTGATTCTCTCTTTTTTTCTGTGGGCTCTTAATTGGTTTTGTGTCTTTTTTTTTTTTTTTTCCGAGTTTCCAGTCTTTTCATTTGGTCTCATTCTTTCTGCTCTTCTGGTTTTTAGTTTGTTTAGGGTTTTTTTCCCCTGTATCTCTTCCTGCTCTTCTAAAATTCTCTGTGCTTTTGGATACTTTTCCCTGACGACTTTCTCCTTCACCACCCCATTTGGGCTCCACTTTCTGCACCACTTCAGCTTCTATCTTCTGCCATTCTCATATCCCATGGTCTCCCTAATTTCTTCCATTTCTTCCCTGTACCTATTTTTCCCAAATCCTGACAGTGTCATGCCCAGCAGCAGTATGGTGCTCTGTTCCCCCACCATTGGAGATGTTGCTGGCACTCCAGCTGAGGAGGAGATGGCGCAGATCTAAAAGCTGCAGTGAACAAATCCCACTGCATGGGAGCTGAAATTTGGGCACATAGCCAACATCTGCTCAGTTTAAAGGAAGCCTTGGCCACCAAAATGGGTTGGAGTTGTGCCAGTGGGGGACAGCATTGTCACTTCTCTCAGCCAGTCCCTCTGACAGCGTAGCTGGAGCATTGAGAGCTTTTGGGGGATTTCACATTAACTAGGGCTGTATCAGGCCATTTTGTGCTTCACTGAATTTGTACATCAATCTCTCTCAATTTTGCAAGGCTTACATCTCATGAAATGGAGTGAAATCATTAACATATGATGGTTTTCAGGCCTATTTCTGCTTTCCAGGTTCAGAATTGCCTTTTGCCAAAGGGTTAGGGTCCTGCACTGTTTATACACTTTAAAAACCTCTGCTGTGTATAATAATAATAATAATGATCCTTGCACTAAAATGATAATCATAGATGTTAATTTTGACTGATTACACAAATAAGGAAACTAAGGCAAAGAGGTCACAAAACTTGTCCAAGCCTGTCAACTTCTTTGAAATGAAAAGTCATTTCAAAGCTTCAGTCCCCAGTGCTGTGGAGTCTGACCCTTCAACTGATCTCTCATGTAATTTTGGACAACATATATTTAACTAGCTTGTGTTCTCCACTGTAGTCACATTAACAGCACTATCTTGTGCCTTTTCCACAGTAAACATATTAAACAAATTACTCAAGTCTTAATCAAACCTCAGAATTGAGGATATAGTGTTGTCCTTTGTAAGTAGGACATCTGCAGAAGGTCTAAATACTATTAAGACTTCAAAAGTCACTTATTGAAGTAAATAGAAAAAAATAGCTTTTGGTTGAGTTCAGGCATCCAAAACTGCATCTATAATAATAAGCAAAACAACAATAAATAATAATGAATAAACAAAGGGCTTTTTTATTCCTAAAGCCAAATTGGCCAAGCAGAACCCTCACCCTACAGCCCAATTCTCTTGCTTCAAGCACAGGGCAGCAATACACAAATGGGGCAATGTCTAGAGAGGGCAGTTTACACTACAGCCAAATCTATGGCCAGGCTGTGCTCAAAATTTAACTACATGAAAAACTGCAGAACAGAAGTGAGCCTTCTCTTACCAATCAGGTAACCAGAACAGACAGTGCCTGCAGCTCATACTATGTTCCTCAGGCAACTGGTTTGTACTAGAAAAGATTAATAGCATTGCTCCTGATTAGGTGAGTTTTGTGATAATACAAGGTAAAATTACAAGAAGAAAATGGAAGGTTCATTGCATGGTTCTTAAACAATGCTTTTTTGATATATTGTTAAGGATAAACTAGTAGGATTTATGGGGTTTTTTTCCTTAGTTAACAAGTACTTTCCCACATTCATAGGTGCTAAATTCCAATAGAAATACTATAGCCTTCACAAGGGAAATTACTGTTATTGACTAAACAGGGCTGGAATTTCACACTGTAATGGATGCTGTTGCTTTAAAATGCTAATTCTTCCCACTGGTTGATTTCTTATGTAAGGTATATTTTTGCTATGAAAAGATCAATAACTTATTACACCATCTTCTTTGGGCAATAGTTTAGGGGTATATTTTATAAAAATGTTGTCTTTTTCCATAAAAATTATAGAAATGCCAAAAACCTAACTACTGTTTTCTTTCTTCTAAAAAGTATTAGAGCTTTTAAAAATCAAGAGAATACAAACAAAATACTAGAAAACACTAAATACTTCACATTACATTGCAACACGGAAATTAAAACCTCTGCAGGTATAATAAAGTAGGGCCTGATTTTGCAGTCTTTGGCTGTGTACCACTGTTGAGTATAAACCCAGAGAGAGCAACCAGGTAGTGTATCAGAGGAACAAGCACTGCTGATCAGGAGTAAATTTGGGAGATTCGTATGCATTCTCTGAACCATGTTTATTTTAACAGATTTAATTTCACCTTATGGACCTTAAAACTCCATTTTTAAGGAGGCTACAAATGGAACAAATAAGAGGGCAACTGAAAGGTACCTTCTTTGTCTCTGTTAGAAACTGTCAGTGGTGCAAATGAGCCTGTTAGAAGAAAAAGATTAATATTTGAATAATGGAGAAGGCTTTCACATTACCTTTGAGGCCTGGAACAAGAATCTGAACAGAGCAGGACTCCTCTGCAATGTGTTGAGGATATCCAGACCTTAGTAGTGACAGGAAGGCAAGGCTAATTAGAGTCACCAAGAAAACCAGATCTCTCTTCATAATGAGCACTTACAGGTCACTGACTCCTAAACAAAAGAATGAGTAAACAGTTATAAGAATTCCAAAGACTCTCAACAGTTTCTGAACACATGCAGCATCCTTCTACTAACACAACGTATTTTTGCATGCCACAATCCACACAGCATGAGAAGAACACATGCAGCTCCTCCAAGCAGTTTGTGTGTTCCTCAGACACACATGCAACTTGCAGCAGCACATTTAGCAGTTTGTTTTGCCATTAGATTGGGTGAGATAAAGCTCAGAAGAAATTTAGTTAACAAGGAGATTAAGCAATGCTAATAATGGACAATTGTATGTTTGGGTTTCTCATTAGAGACAGGGATCTAGAAAGGTGAACGGAAAAAATACAGTATATGGGTTTAGAATCATAGAATTGTTTAGACCAGAAAAGACCTCTACGATCATCAAGTCCAGCCATTAATCAGCAATGCCAAGTCCACTACTAAACCATATCCTTAAGTGCCACATGTACATATCTTTGAAATATGTCCAGGCGTGGTGGCTCAACCACTTCCCTGGGCAGCCTGTCCCAATGGCTGACAACCTTTCCACAAAGAAATTTTTCCTAATATCCGATTTAAGCCTCCCCTGGCACAACTTGAGGCCATTTCCTCTCATCCTATTGTTTGTTATTTGGGAGAAAAGACCATCCCCCACCCTACTACAAACTCCTTTCAGGTAGTTGTAGAGAGCCATAAGGTCTCCCTTGAGCCTCCTTTTCTTCCGTCTAAACGATCCCAGCTCCCTCAGCTGTTTCTCACAGGACTTTGTGCTCAGACCCTTCACCAGCTCCATTGTCCTTTTCTGGACACCCTCCAGCATCTCAATGGTTTTCTTGTAGTGAGAGGTCCAAAACTGAACCCAGGATTTGAGGTGTGGCAAGTACAGGGATACAATCACTGCACTGGTCCTGCTGGCCACACTATTGCTGATACAAGCCAGGATGCCATTGGCCTTCCTGGCCACCTGGCCTTGCACTAAAAGATGTTAGTACTAAGTTCCCACTTAGAAAGAGTGGATACCGCTCTAAAGAGGCAAGTCAGTAGAAGATGAGACCTACTTCAATGCCTGAAACTTCACTTCCCATCTACCTGAGCACTGGAATTATGCCCAGTAAATTGTCTGATGCAGTAGCCCTCATGTAAGTCATTGAGAGTGGAAAGCAGGTAATATTTCACTGTATCATGCAATGAAGTTACATCAGAGTCTTCAATAACTCCTGAAGAGAATCACCTTTGAAACATCCCCTTGTCTAAGCCTACAAGTGAATGGATTGCCTGAAATTAGGCTGTGAAGAGATGTCTCAGAAAATAACAGCACAGAAATGGAGTTTGTGTGAAAGGACCATCAAAAGACAGTAGTTAGGGGGTCTGTAGAAATACTTTCATAAAAGTGTTATTTATGTACTTCTGGTATGTTTTTCCAGTCCTTCTTTCACCAAAACTCTGTATTACACAAATAAGCTGAAAGTCATATCAGGGTTTCAAGAGGAAGTACCTGTATATCATCTTTTATAGCTACAATACAGACATGTGCATTTTATATCTAGAGTTATATTACTCTCCTCTCCCTGAATCTCTTCAAAAATAAGTCAAGTAAGATTAGGTACAGGTATGGGACCAGTACATGGGTCTGTATGACTTAACATATTTGGGGTCTAGGACGGTGGAACTGTTAATTTTGGGATGATCTAAAGGTATTAAACAGCATAACAGATATCTTAGCAGCAAGACCATGTAGATGACTTTGAAGTTGCAGGAATAAATTGTTCCTCTGAATTACTGTCTAGTTTGTACTTCCATTATCTCCTAGGAGACTGTAGAAAGGGGGTCTGATGGGAGCAGATTTTGTCTCCCTTCTCATGTGGGAGGGTATGGCATGAGTCCCGGGTCAAGTTGTTCTGCCTCACAACACCCTTGCTACACCATCTGAAGCTACACCCACCCACACTGCAGAGAAGGGGGACTCCACAATACACCCCTAAGCTCTCACTGATCATCCAGATCTGGGGCAAAGACTTGTGAGCTCCTTTTGACCCAATTCTTTTCCCCATCTTTCCTTCCAAAGGAGAGAGAGCTGCAGCTAAAGGCCCATGCTTTAAAGAGGTGGTGTCTATGCTTGGACCTGGGAAGAGCTCTAAGGTCAAGAGATCTCAATACAGTCATAATCCAGTGAGCTACAGTGGGGCAGGAAATGCTAGGGAAAATCTCGGGTGCTGGGTAATCCTCCCATGGGGCAAGGGAGGAACACAGAAATCTGGAGATTTCCACAACACACCATGTGCTCCTCTAACGGGCCAGGCATGAACTGCTTCATAGACAAGCTTTGTCAATCTAAAAAAATATCCAGAAGACTGTGGAACTGCTGTTCATATATTTAGGCCATGATAAGTTTTGTCACAATTGCAGCAATATCACTCAAGGTTTCTCAAGAGTGCAGGCAAAATTTACTTTTGTCACCCAATCATGAGGAACCAGAGGTAGAGGAGAGGGCATACCTTAAAATCAGGCATGGTCCATTAGAGTGGATCCAGAGGAGGGTCACAAATATGATCAGAGAAATGGCACCTCTCCTATGAAGATAGGCTGTTCAGCCTGGAGAGGAGAATGCTCTTGGGAGACCTCATTGTGGCCTTCCAGTACTTAAAATGGTCTTATGAAAAAAAGAAGGAGAGTGACTTTTTACACAAGCAGACAGCGATAGGACAAAGGAGAATGGCTTTAAACTGAAAGAGGAGAGATTTAGATTAAATGCTAGGAAGAAATCCTTTACTGTGAGGGTGGTGAGGCACTGGAACAGGTTGCCCACAGAAGTTGTGGATGCCCCATCCCTGGAAGTGTTCCGAGGCCAGGTTGCATGGAGCCCTGAACAACCAGGTCTAGTGGAGGATGTCTCTGCCCATGGCAGGGGGATTGGAATTGGAAGATCTTTAAGGTCCCTTCCAACCCAAGCCTTTCTATGATTCTATGATAAAGGTGAACACATAGAACAGCAATAGCTGGGGAGGAAAGGGAAAAGTAATGGAAATTTGGATGCCATGGAGAAGGAGCAACCAGGTCAGCTCCTCAAGGCTCTGACAGACAAAACCAGCAGGAAAATATTTGCTGTGTTGCTGTCCTCTGCTGTTCTGAGGCTGGCCCTCTCTTGCCTATGCACAGGGCCAGCCAGAATTACTAGAAATCAAGTCAGGCTGCTGGCCACTTTACAGCTATTTTCTAAGGTTATACAAATTATTTGAACACAGTCTTGATATAGTTTTGAAGTATCAACCTCTGTGAGAGCACTTTCCTCCAAAATACTTTCATGTGCATACTAAAATTACTTTACATACATTAAGCTCAAATCTGGCTACATCTCCCCAGGAGAAGACTCCTAATCCCAGAGTACAAGGCACTGCATCTTGGTGTATCTTGCAGCCTAGAGAAGCTCACTGTATCCACCGTGGACAGTCCTACCTCTTTTTCCTGTCTGTGATTCACAACCATCAGCAAGTAAAAGAGAGAGCAACAAAAAATAGCCAGTAAAAAAGGTTGAGGAGAAGGGTGTTTCTCCAGACCTTCAAAGGTTTCTAAGGCCAGTCTTGGCATTTGAATAGTTAGCGCTGGTTGACTAGAAAGTGAGGGAGTCCATAGCAGGAACAGCCTTTGTAATGCCAAGCTAGGGACCAGTGCTCCCTATAGGGAAACCAGTGAGTTGTGGTTGCAACAGCCAGCCAGGAGGATATGCCAGAGACTCATGCCTGGAAGGTTCTTCCAGACACTTGAATGTAGGTGTTTAACCCTCAGCAGCAGCCACCCTTGAGAGAAAAGATTTGTGGGCTGAGCAAACAGAGGATGTGGGTCCTACCTGCCTCAGCCTGCAGGTCCCACCCCACAGCCCAGAAGAGCACCTGGTCACCAGCATGCAGGACATCCTAGGAAGGGCATCCCACCTTTTTCTTGTAGCAGGGGCACTTCAGGATTCAGAAGATCACACAGAGAGGCTTTCAAGCCAAGTGGTTCAGATACACAGCTGAAAGCCTGGAAACTAGGCAGTTTCAGCATGAGCACCCAGCAGACTGGTGATAAGGTTTCTTGACAGACAGGCTGGAGAGCAGAATTAAACAGCCTGAGATGGAAGAAGGAATTGAAATTAGGAGGGTGCTCCAGTCTCTGCATCAGTGAATAAAAGGCAGCAGCATCTCCTCTGTCTGCATTTTATCAGGATTTAGATGTATTCAGACTCCAATTGAAAGATCAAAGACTCCAGGTATGTTAAATATTAATCTGCCTTTGCAAACTCCTACACAGCTCAGAGATGAGACAGACATTGAGAAGTAGAGAACTGTCAAGGCTGCTTGTTAGCTCTGCTCAGCAGCCAGATATGAAGGATTTTCTGGGGAAAACAAAACCTCCAATGAAGCTTCAGCATATTCCCCACTACCTGCTGCTGGGCTTACAAGCCTCAGTGACAGAGGAGATACGCCTCACCCTATTTTGTGTTAGGTCAGCTCACAGAGAAAACAGACTTGTTCTAGAAAAATGAGCTTCTTTAGTGTCAGTCAGGTCACAACACCCAGATCTGTACAAATGCTCAGGGAAATTACCTTGGTCTGAGAAGAGCCACTAACAGAAGAAATCTCTGAAGAGGTTGCAGATTAAATACTTTATAGAGTCTGCATCTGCAGTAAAGGGACACATTAGTAGCAGAAATAAAACCAAAAGCACTTTGGATATCACTTTCTCCACCTTTTCCTGCTTTCAAAAGAAATCTCTCCTGCAGCTAAAATTGCCTCATATGATTGAAATAAGAGTTTGATATCCAGGTATATGCCACAGCAGCATCTTTCATTTTAAAATCGTCAAAAATTCCTTGCCTTTCCGACCTACCTTCAAGTCCTTTCAGACCCAGATTCATAAAGGCGTTTAGAAAACCAAGCCCCACTGAAAGTGGTCCTTAGAAAAAGGTACCAGCCTGTTTTTTCAAATGCTGTCTTGGTCTCAGTATTTGGAGTATCTTCAGCATCAGTAAAACCAATGCCAGAGAGAAACCTAGAGATGTTCAGCATTTATAAAAGTATGAATGTTTTGTCACTGTCTAAGCAGGGGTCAGAAGTTTAATTTGCATCACTTATAACAGCGGCCATTAAATCAGTGTAAGCTGAAAGCACTGAAAAACAAAATTAGAAGAGGAGGAAAAGGCAGCATTAACTTAAAAAAAAAAGATAGTAAAATGCCTCTATTTCCATTAGGAACAAAAACATATCAATGCAAACAGCACAACAATTTCCAAACAACTTTTGAGACCTGTCAGCTTTAGGAAATCTACCTCACTTGACAAGAGAGAAGAGGCTTTACAAGCCGAGCTTCAAGTGACAAGTCCTTGAGAGACCATCGGAGAATCCCCAAGGCCCCACAGGCTTGCTCAAAGCTGCTGCAGGACTGGCCAGGCCAGCTGGCCTCTAGCACTCCTTGAGCTCCCACACTTCCTCCCCAACACTGGATCGAAAACTTGGAGATCACTTCAGCCAGCAAATGCCTCATGCATGGAGTTCCTGTATCTGCCAGTGGCTGCTCCACAAGGGTCAGCAGCTTGTTACATTTTGGATTTAGAATCAACAACACAGATGATCTGCCCAGTTGAAACCAAATGGCTGAAAAACGCAGAAGGTGGCTTGCATTAGTGCTCAGCCAGCCAACAGTTATGGAGTAACTCTAATCCTCTGTATAATCCTATGGGATCTTTGAGTTGCTTTTATTTCACTATTACTGAGTTATTTTCATTCTTATTATGATTTTTTGTTGTTATTTTTAAAACTATACTTTATTCTCAGGTATCTGAGCTGAATTATCTTTATTGTGAATTAAGTATGTTCCTAGTACAGACACACACATAAATCTGCAGAGCCACAGCCACATTTGGTGACTTTCCCAAGCAGGTTTGAGTCAGCACTACAGACATAGCAATAACTTTCAAGGGTTTTCACTCCCCTGACTTTTCAAGCCCTCATCATTCATGTCCCGACACCTCCCAGAACAATCGGGCAGCTTGTCTGTCCTCAAGCACCGTGGCAGGCCCTAAGCCACATTCTAGCAGATGCAACACATGCCCACAAAATCACACCAGTGAAATCACAGCAGGTTGTGGCACAGACCTCATGCTATTTCAAACATTTTGAACAGATGATTTAAATTAAATTAAGTCCCAGGATAAAAGGGTACCACCAGCACTCAGCACAGACTAGGGATAGGTTTCTGGGGGAAGAGGTGAGAGGCAGAAGGGACAAGCCTCCAGTGCTGTTCACACAAGCTGCTTTTCACCCCTTGGCCCAAGGGCTGCAGATCCTTCCCTGGGGAAGATGCCTCTCACACTAGAGATGAAACTTGTGTCACTGACCTCTTCTTTCTCCATTACAGCCTTGCTGATCATCCTAACCTACCGATGTTTTGTGTAGCTATGCTCTTACTTTATCTAAGCGTTTTCTCATTTGTCCTCCCAGCTCCCTTGTGCGTTACCTTGGGTAATCAAGAGTTCACCACTTAGCTAGACTATAAAAATCAGAATCAGTTACAAAGCTGTTTAAACAATGATCATTATCGTAACATTGCAATGCTCTCAAGTTAAATTCTACATGTTGATTTAAAGGTTGAAGCAATGGACTTGAAAGACTGAAAAAAAATCCCTAAATATTAATACTGTAGAATTGCAAAAAAGAGGACCATAACTGCTGCAGTTACCAAGTCTCTGTGAAATCTATGGAGCATGGAGTAGTATAAAGCAGAGATATAACACGTTTCAGGTCCTGATGATGCTGAAGAGCAGCGTTTGTTGCAGAGGACAAAAGAGCGAGTCTAGCATTACCTAAAAACCTCACTGATAGAAAGTCTTTGGTTACTCCCCAAAGTACACTTAATTCTGGCACAATAGAGCCATTTCCTCAGCCAATATTTATGAGGTATAAGGGACTATTAGTTCTGCCTGTACAATGTAGATGCCTTTGACATATGTAGGAATAGTAGTCTCACTTTTCATCAAGAAGAATGTTTGTAAAAACTGGGACAAATTTTTCCTGATGTTGTTCTGCTGAAGTCAATGAATTCATGTTAGAATTAACTTACTGTAATCTGTGTTAAAAATATAAAATCAGGGCTTCAGGGTAAGATCAAAATAATGCCAGAAGGGGGGCAAGTATGTTTTCAAAACCTTTAACTAGAGGGAGATGGGACCCAGGTGCCAAATCTTTCACAATAGCTCTCTATGGCTTTTCAGTCAGTAGAAAATAATGCTCAAGTAGAATTTTATCTTTATGTAAAATGTTGGCCAGATACAACTAAAGAGAATTTCTCCTGCAATGTTTTAATCAAAGTCCCTACTAGATTACAAGATCTCTGCTGTTTGCAGCTATATTTTACAAAAACAGGTTGCAGTTTTGGATGTCATCCTTAATATATGGCAGATCAAATTTTCAGTATTCTTTACCTCCCCAAAATGCCAAAAAAAAAAAAAAAAAAAAAAACCACAAAAAACCCCCACAAAAACACCACAGAAACAAAAACACCACCAACAAAAAACTTACCAGGGTTCAAATGTAGGTGTCAGTTCTTCTAAAACCTGTGTCTAAACCATCTCAGTTCATCCCTGTTCCCATAAAGCATTTACATGAGTACCTGATGCTATCCCCACACACAGTTTTATTTCTGTAGGAAATAAAACACCAAGGATTCACCATGAAACAGTGAATAATGTGGAGAATGTTGCAGCGTACTTTTATTTACATGAATATATATATATTATGCACGTATGCATTTGTAACTTTATTTATGAAGCTTTAAGGCATTGCTTTTCTTCCCTTCTCATCCACAGAGGCTTAGGACTGGTTGCAGAAGTTGGGATATTTGTGCAGTATTTAAGTGGTTAATGCCCATTCAAGCAACTTATGCTTTCCAACACATTATCACTCTCCAGGTGCTTGGAAGTTTTCCTAGGGGGGCCTGACAGTTGTTTTCTTGAGGGCACTGGACAGGCTCAAAAGGCAAACTCAGCATGGGGAGGGTGGTCCCAGTCCTGCAGCTACATTTTTGGAGGTGTAGAGAACAGGCAGAAAGGACTATCAAGGCCCCATCTGATCATCCCAGCCATGGCAGCAGTGGCACCTGCCTTTTGCACAACAGAAATGCCACTCAAGTATTGATCCAAAAAGTGTGAAGTACCAGCTATGGAACATCCTTAACTTAAAGGATTTGAACCCACAGCTCCAGTTCCCCAGGAGAGTAATTGCTAATATTGGGTGGACACAGTGAAATTAGAATGCGCTCAGGCATGCCACATTAAAGGATGGAAGGAAGCAGGGAAGAAGCCTGATGATGAAGCCAGCTCAAGCTTAGTGTGGTAGGACACTAGATTAAAAAGGGGGAAAATTAGTGTTCTCCCTTCCCTGCTTTCTGTTTTCATGTCCCACAACAGACTCATGTATAAACACAGGGGCAGATCAGGAATGCCCAGACAGAAGACAAAATCTAAGCAAAGCAGTTTATGAGGCTAGAGGAAGAGAAAGACAAGATAGGAGACTTAGAATGTAGATCGCTAGTTGGAAAAACACAAAGCAAAAGTGAAAAACCAGAGGTCTGACAGAGAAAGGACAGATGACCAACGGTACCATCCCAGAGGGCAAGTGGACAGGAAAAATGTTTGCTTTTGGTTGCCACAGCATCCTACTGAGGAGAAGAAACACAGAGCAGAAACAGCTTTTGTCCCCCCTTTCTCACACATTAGATAAGTGACAGCTATTTTTAAAGGAGGTTCTAAAAATAATGGGAAGCTGCCTAAGAATAAAGACTGTTGCCCAGTTCCTCCCAATGCTGCAAGTATGACACCTCAAAAAGTGAACCACAAGACAGAGCACAGCTGGCATTAGCAGATGCCTATTTATCAGAACAATTTTGTTTAGATACAGACCTCAAGCTGAGACTAGTTATAAACAGACCCTTGGGTGGGATTTATCTGTTCAGGCTTAGGTGGTCAGTCTGAGAAAATCATCCTGAGCTCCCTGTATTACCAAGTCAGAGAAAGGCACCTTGGCACGTGGATTCATTTCATCCCAATGCAGGATAGATAATTGACTCTGGAGGTACCTACTCATCGCCCAGTACGACTATCTCAGCCTTGTAGGTAGGTGAGGAGTGTCCTACCATCACTAATTACCTAAGTCAATCTACGGGTGGGCTAACAGCAACCTGGCTTCCTACGGCAGTCACATACTACCCTCCCCTTCTCTGTACTGTCACCAACTGCCAGCTGATCCCATCATGAGCTAGCACAGGCAGTAAGCTATTCTTCTTTCTGTAATGTTGTTTTTCTGTTGATTTAGATTCTTGGTTCCTGGTGAGGGTAAAATGGCCATCATTCCTGCAAAAATTATGCCAGGCAAGGAAAGAAATGCCCTTGGCAGCAGCTGAGATGGCCTTCAGTGTGTTGCTAAACTGTGCCCTCGCATGCCAGAAGCATACAGAAAGCAGAAAGATGCATAAGTGAAAGAATACAAAGGACTAAATTCACCAGAAAAAAAAAGTCCAGCACATAATTAGAGTGGGAACATTTTAAAAGGAGGAGAGATATGGCAAAATACCAGGCTGCAATGGAAAATAATATCCAGCAAAAGATACAGACCATAGGAAGTAGAACGACATCAGGCATTTTGCAATAGCATGCAAGCCACTAAGAGTCATGGAAATGATCCAAGGGCGTTATCCTCAAATGACAAGTACATACTTCTTGGAATTATATCCTCAATATAACAAAACGCCATGGTACATAAGCATGCATGATCAAAATCTGGCATTTGAACTGGGGCAGTATCAATGCAATTTCAACAAAAGGTTCTTTTTGTTCTCAGGCTGGGAGATGAAATAACACTCTATATGTGATCCTATGCTGAAACTTTCCTAAAGGTTTTCAAAGGCAAGTCCTGCCTGATCAACCCAGTGGCCTTCTATGGTGGAGTGACTACATCAGTGGACAAGGGAAGTGCTACAGATGCCATTTATCTGGACTTCTGTAAAGTCTTTGGCACAGTCCCCCACATCATTCTTCTCTCTAAACTGGAGAGAGATGAATTCGATGAGTGGACTGTTAGACGGATAAGAAACTGATTGGATGGTTGCATCCAGAGGGTTGTGGTCAATGGCTCAGCGTCCCAATGGACATCAGTGACAAGTGGTGTCACTCAGGGGTCTGTGTTGGGACCAGTTTTATTTAATATCTTCTTCAATGACATTTGCAGATGACACACCTGAAGGACGGGAGGCCATCGAGAGGAATCTGGACAAGCTCAAGAAATGGGCCCATGGGAATACCCTTGGTTCAACAAGACCAATTGCAAGGTGCTGCACCTGGGTCAGTGTAACCCCCAGTATCAATCCAGGCTGGGGGATGAACAGATCGAGAGCAGCCCTGCCAAGAAGGACTTGGGTGTAGTGCTGGTGGATGAGAGGCTAGACACGAGCTAGCAATGTGCACTCAAACCAGAAAGCCAAACGTGTCCTGGGCTGCATCAAGAGCAGTGTGGCCAGCAGGTCGAGGGAGTTGATTCTGCCCCTATACTCTGCTGTCATGAGACCCCACCTGCAGTGCTGCATCCAGCTCTGCAGACCCCAGCACAGGGGGGACATCGACCTTTCGCAGCAAGTCCAGAGGCCACCAAGATGATCAGAGGGATGGAGCACCTCTCCTGTGACATAAGGCTGAGAGAATTGGGATTGTTCAACCTGGAAAAGAGAAGGCTTCAGGGTGACCTAATTGCAGCCTTACAGTACCTGAAGGGAGCCTACAAGAAGATGTGGAGAGACTTTTTACAAGAGCATGTAGTGACAGGACAAGGGGGAAGGGTATCAAATCAGAGTAGGTTTAGATTAGATATTAGGAAGAAATTTTTTACTGTGAGGGTGGTGAGGCACTGGAACAGGTTTCCCACAGAAGTTGTGGATGCTCCATCCCTGGAAGTGTCCAATGCCAGGCTGGACCAGGTTTTGAGCAAACAGGTCTAGTGGAAGGTGTCCCTGCCCATGGCAGGAGGGCTGGAACTAGATGATCTTTAAGGTCCCTTCTAACCCAGGCCATTCTGTGATTCTACGATATCTTCAATGGAGAAATGACAGCTGATCTTCATAGCAATAGTACTACCCAATGTCCTTTCTTTCTTAGAGTGCTGACACACCTTTCCAAGTGCAGATAAGGGAAAGAAGGCAAAAGAAAGGGGAACCTATCTAAACAGCTCCCCACGTTAACAGAAAATATATGGTTGGTACACACAAGTGGTTCTAGAAGCAAAACGCAGTGGGAAAATAAACAGGGTTTTATGGGTCTGATGTGACTTAGAAGCACACACAAAGACACACAATTCCAGCAGACAACTAGACATTGACAAAGTTCTCAGAAGTCAAAGTATTCTCACACTAATACGCTACAGCAGACTTTCACTAATCAGTCTAATATCATTGGCAATAGTCATAACCCTACTTAAAAGGCATGCCAAATGGAACCTAGCTGAAAGAATATTTTCCAGTGGCAAAATTTCCTAAAGCAGCTCTTACACATACCACAATACCTGTGCTCGAAATCCTTTGCCATGTATAATGCACCGGTTGACAAATATTTTTAAAAACTGAAAAAGAGTAAAAGCGACTGTATTCAGTGTGAGATGCTTTTGACAATCTCATCTCATTTTGAAAAAGAAATATGAATTCAGGAAAAATAGACAGAATGTGTTGAACACAATTTGAAAACAAGCGTGTTTATCTGAATTCATATAACCTGAAGGTGCTACTTCCCTGACCTGTATACCATGATGCTTCTGTTACCAAAAGATTCTTTAGGATGACAACTCCCTTTGGGAATTTTTCATTAAAGTCCTTTCATCTAACCAACTGCCCTGAGAGATTTCTCTATTTTAATAATGTACATTTCTAGGGAATAATACAACAAGCTATGTTAGTAAGTGATAACTACTGGCATCTCCATCTGCTTTGGTACTCGGCAAATTCTCTAACAATAGCAGCAGATGCACCTTTCACACAGCTAGAACATGACCACAGGCCAGCTGTACACAAATTAAGAAGCTGCAGAACAACTAAGCAATGATCACTTGAACCTCCACTTGTGTCCGTTCAGAATTCATAGGGCACGTACAGAAAAAAAACTAATGCTACTGTTCTGGTTATGCAGCTACCAGTAACATAAAAGGCTTCAGAGGAGTTAAAGAGTACACTGACCTGAAATCCCAACATCTGCCAGTTGACTTAAGAAAAGGAAGAATGAAGGACAAAAATGACGTGTCGCAGTTAGTGCTGCCAAAACGATGGCACCAACTCTACACATAGAGGAAACTCCACGTACCCAACACTGCAGTTGCAACATTTAACATCGCCTTCCCTAAAATTAAGGAACAATGTGAATGCAACCACGTGTGAATTAAGTCTGAATGGCAAAATGCATGTTTAAACACAGGGTTGCTCAGGAGACAGAGTAAAAACTGTCAGACCAGATGTGGTGAGTTGACCTTGGCTGGATGCCAGGTGCCCACGAAGCCTTCTATGGGTTTTACATAAGTCATAAAAAGTAGAGAGTGACTAAAGACTTTTTGACACGCCACAATTATACAAAAGGCAATTCTGACACATGGCCTGGGTTGGAAGGGACCTTA